CTATGTGGTGCACTATGTAGGGAGCACCTCGGCAAAGCATCATTTCAGACACTACTCGAGCTGTTAACTACGTCGCTCGTCAGCCGCGATTTGTGCCTCAACAGCGTAGTACAAACACATCAAATTAACAGTTTATTGCGTAGCTAAGAAATTAAATCAAGTTTATTGTCATTTTGCTGCACATACCAGATGAGAGAGCGTTTCTTCAGGATCCAGTAACTAAAAGCAATAAAGTGGTGTTGTGTGTCCACATCACAACCGAGCGCCGCAATTTTAGCGACATTCACTGTCCGGGTAAAATAAAATTTAACAAAACAAACGGGAATTTTTCGCGCTCTCGTTCATCTCCGTTTCCATTTCCTTTCGCGCAATGCATGACGGTCCATATTGCTGGTTAGTGACCATCGGCTGTGCACTACTTTTTACGGTGCATTGTGGGATATTTTGAGTGACTATGTAGTGGATGAAATTTACCGCTGAGAATTCGAACAACACTACAAAATGGCGTGCACCCTGTATAGTGCACTATGTAGGGCATAGGGAGTGATTTCGGACACAGCCTATAACTTTCAGATGATTTCTGTTTGTATTGAAGCATAAATCTTCTCTAATAACTAATGAAACAGCTCATTTTTAGCAGCAACAGCTACAACTTACAAGAGCTGGAGTTCAGTCTCTTGTGTTGCTGCCGACTCTTTGTTTCAGAGCTGATTCAGTGAGAGGAGTCAGCGAACACGAGCTGCTATTTTCAGGTCTCAAAACAGCATTTCGACAAGAGTTCAGGTCTGGAGTTTGATTCAGCCTCTCCAAAAAAACTCATCTTGCTGTATTTGCCTCCAGGGATTTTTACTCACAGAGAAGAATTCATGTTTCCCTCAATTACAGCAGGGTGCCATGAAGCAGCCAAAAAAATAAAAAATCCTCACGACATGATGATGCCGCCTCCGTGCCAGTTAATGTTGTTTTTGTTGCTTCGTACTCTAAAAAATCAAACTTCTCCCAAAAGATCTGAAGGTCATGAAGGCGTGTTGTGGACGAGCCCAGATGTTCTTCTGGACGAACACCGACCTTCAGTCCTTCTTTGGATCTTTTGTGACCTCCTACTGTTGGAGATCAGTCAGATTTAAGTTTAAAGCCAACAAAAGTCAAACAAAAGTGTCGAACAACTAAAACAGCAGAACATAATATAGCAGAAGAAGCAAAGAACAGACGATACAACACAATAACCGGATGTCAAAGATAAAAAGATTTTAGTTCTGTGTCTAATTTAAGCAAATATCTGTCACTTGTCGTGCTTCTGTAAAGTATTTTTAAGAAGATTTTTGAAATGTGGTATGAGAAAAAGTTCACGGAAATGGAAAAATATGGGAAAAAAAAGTCTTAAATTCGAAGTTTTTAAGCTTCCCACCATTGTTTTTGTGTCTTGGCAGCATGAAACAAGGTAAATATCAACTGAAATCAATTTCCATTTTTGTTTCAAAGTTTTGTTGGTTTCTTCGTCTTTTTTTTTTTGGCAGTCTGGTTTTGTTTCTTCGACTGTATTTATGAGTTTGTTCGCTCCAAAGGAACCGATAGAAACGAGCCGGATTTGCATTTTTCTGTTTGTTAAAGTTTTGCGACGTTTCAAAAGTTTGCTTCAAATCCGCAGGACGGTTCTGTTGGAAATCAGCTGCTGTGGATGTGTGGAGTCCCAGAGCCTTAAAGGGAGCCCTTCCCACAAAGATGTATTTCAATCAATTTCTAACTCGTCTCTTCTGGGATTTCTTCTGATTTGGTGAGCCAGCTTCATGCTTCAGAAAAAAAAGGTCTATTTAAGCGATGATTTGATTGAACAGGGCTGGTTTTAATCAGATCTGGGTGCGTCCAGACTTTGCAGGAAAGAGTTTGGTAGTTTTTTTGGGGGGATTTAATAACTGAGTGGGTGAATACTTTTTCCACACAGTCGGTATTAGAGAACCTTTCTTGCTGCAATACACGCGGACATCATTTGAAACTGGTATTTTGTGTTTATTCAGGCTGCGTTTGAAGCCGCGGTTTCGGTGGAAGACGCACGAAATAATGGACGAAATCAGGAGCGGCACCGTGTGATGTCTGGTGTTTGTGAAGAAAGACGAGCTCCTACAGCTAAGCCAAGCAATTTGAGCGAGATTCACTAAAAGTTCCTCTGCAAGAAAAACATCTCAGCGCAACGCTCTCATGAATTCATGCTAATACACGGCACACATACATTTAACCGGCGGAGAGAAAATCAAGCGGAGCGTCTCGGATTCCCTTCCTGCTTTTTAACGCTGAATGTGGAGCCGCGGTTAAATTCTTCATGAATTGTTTGAGATTTGGTTGATGTCATTCAGGAACAAGCCGGTCGCTCCCCCGCCAGCTGCTTGCTGAAAACCGAGCCGCTCATTTATTTATTTATTTGTTGTTGTGTTTTTTTTTTAAAAACAAAATCCATCTGGAGATGTAATTGTTGTGTTGCAAAATAGGTTTTCCAAACAATACCGAGCGAGTCGGCGCCGCGGATCTCGTCGTATCCCCAAACATGTGTCAATTTTCTCCTTCTTTTTTAACCCTATTTCTAAATGTGGAGACGAGCCACGGAGTCTTCTGCCCATTAAATATTTCATGCCATTTGCTCTCCTCAAGAAATACAGCCATCGCGGGCTTCATGAATATAAATTAAACTTTGAATTCATCTTGAGGATTTTCTGATGCCACAAGGATTCTTCACGCCACCTTTTCTCTTCCCTTTATCGCATCTTCCTGCAGCCCACCTCCTCCTCCTCCTCCTCCCCTCTCCATCACCGAGAGCCGCCCTTAATGAAAGGAAACAGGCCTCCATTCCTCAACTCATCACACAGTAATATGACAACTGGGTCTGGAGAACACCTCGGGGGAACCACACTTACCTTCAGCGGCGGTGGCAGGAAAACACTCCTGTTGCTAACGCCCCAAAGCCTGCAGTTAATATCAACAGACCATCTTGCGCCTGAGAAACATGCGAGGCGGTTTCCTAGTGACCAGGCAGCCTGGCAGCCCGAACACAGCGCCTCTCGCTCGCTAACAGGGTCTCTGGTGAGGTCTTTTATTTCTGCTTCTGGCTCAGAACTCTTCTATCGCGTGGGCGATTTGGAGGGATTTGACTCTATTAAACTTTAGAGAGTGTTTAGAAGGCGGCCGCTTTCCTAGAAATCGCCAGATAGCATTCAAACTTCAGCGTTTGTGCTTCAGGGTTGAGGAGACTGTATCCATCAGTGTTTAACGGACAGATCGATGCGTCGAAATGCAGCAGCTCTACAGTCTCAGACCAACAACACGCCTTCATTTTAGGCGTCTCAGCCCTCATGACACTAAATACTAAAATACTAAAAATGTCCTGATTACGTCTTTTAGTTTTTAATCGAGTATCCACCAACACCGAGCCCCAATCTGATTCCATGTTCGTACATAATACTCCATATAACAGTCTCAATATCACGATCAGTCCAAAACAAACGCTGGCCAATGCATTAAGAACAAACATTCTGCATCCAGGCTGTTTCATAATGTTCTGTAGGTGGTCATGAACCTTTCTGTAAAGACTCTGATATGTAAAAGATGCACATAATCTTTGTTATATCTTTATTTTAAGCCTTATTGTTCTGTTTTACTTCTCGTCTTGCTTTGTCTATGACTCATTCCTATCTGGCTGCTGGAACATGTAAATTTCCCCAATGAGGGATCAATAAAGTTTATATTACTACCTTAAAATGTATGTAGATCAGCTGTAGCACCTGGTTTAGCACCAGAGAAGGCAGATTACAGTTAGCTCATGTTGGCCAGCAGAGAGCGCTGTAGGGCTTCAGCTAGCAACAGGCTCCACGACAAAGACTTGTGTGACTCTTAATGACCTCCGACCAGAACTCCATCCATCATCTCTCCACCTTATTCCTCACCAGGGTCATGGGGGGCTGGAGTCTATTCCAGCTGACTCAGGGTGAAGGCAGGTTCACCTGGACAGGTAACCAGTCTATCACAGGGCTACACTTAGAGACAGACAACCAAGCACACTCACATTCACACCTACGGACAATTTAGAATCACCAATTAACCTCAGCATGTTTCTGGACTGTGGGAGGAAGCCAGAGAACCCGGAGAGAACCCACGCTGTACGGGGAGAACATGGAGACTCCACGCAGAAAGATCCCGGGTGTCCTCACCGGGACGCGAACCGGCGACCTTCTAGCTGCGAGGCGATGGTGCTAACCACCGAAACACCTTCGGCACCCAACTCACACAAAAAAATTGTTCTATGGCACTTGGCTAGATTGTTTTCTCCTGACTAGATCCTTGCTTGTGTTGTATCCGCTCTCAGATGTACGTTGCTTTGGATAAAAGCTAAATGAAATTATAGAACTGTAATCAACTGTGACTGTGTTATTTTATCTCATTTGGAACTGAACCAACTATGTGGGGAAATCATGTGTCGGTTGATTAAAACAGCACAAAACAAATATCTTTAGTTTGTGTCATCAAATAATCCATTATCGATTGGTACTCTGGCTGATTTAGTAAAGTGTTTTGATTGACAATTCTGCAGATTATTGAGGAAAATGTTTCAAATCTGCATCCCTGGTGTGACGTCACAAATTCTGCTCTCTCTTTACAACACAGAACACTGTCTGGAACTTAGCTAGCCAATGGGGCACCATGGAAAGACTTGACTGACTCTTGATGACCTCCAAGCAGAGCTGGTGTATTCAAGACAAACTGGGATTGACAGGAACCAGTGGCAGATGGTACAGAGCCATTATGAGGTCTAAAACAGCAACATCAGCATATGACCAATGACCACTGTGCTCAGTTTGTGTTCTTGAAGCGCTGCATGTTGTTAATTTAGAAAACACAATTTGCTAGTCCTGCCACCTTCACAACACCTGCCTGAAAGCAGAGGTTCAGTCTAGAAAAGCCTTTGAATAAAACTGAATGGAGTGAATCAGCAGCAGGTATGTCGCTGGTCTTACCTCATCCAGATGCACCAGGAAGGTGACGTTGCTGCCGAGGTTGGCGGTCAGTTTCCCATCTTTGGTGGTCAGCAGGAGTCCTTTGGGAGGCCTGTTGGGACACTGCTGCTTCCGGGCCGTGTACATTTCTTTGACTCCTTTGGTGCAGTTGTTCAGCACCACTTTACGGTACCTTTAAAAAAAAAAAAAAAACAGATCCAAGACAAATTACATGCAGCGTGTTTCTTTGCCTTTATTCCACGCTGTCATCTGCACGTCCCTTCAGTTTTGTTTTGTGTTTTTATCTTTGCCACTAATCCCCTTGATGCTGCACGGGTTTGTGGTTCGCAGACAAATTTTGTCGAACTCAGCAGAGTACAGCTGTTGTGTCTGAACAGCCTCCCAGACGAGATGACGACTGACAACACAAGCTGTGTCAGAGGCTGAGACACCTTGGGAAGCTTAATCACAGCAGTAGTGAATAAAACCCTCCCACTGTGATTAAGCTTTGCAAGGTGTCTGTTCCCCGCGGAGCCGGCAACACCGACACACAGGACACATCTTTCTGGCACAACAAAGAGAAACGGATTGCGACTGAAAGTGAGGCATCACAGCAAAGACAAATAGGAGGTTTCGCTCTTGAGGAGTTATTATCAAAAGTGTTTTAAGCGAACACGATGCACTGCAGAGGTAGTAGCTGTCATACAAACATACACGAGATAATATGACTGATAAATCCTACTTTGTAATTTTGAGTCCCCAAAACGTAAATACCCCAAACTGGCAACCACAGACGATAGAAAGATGGATGCAGTCACCGTGACAACATCCACCAGTTCGTGTTTTGAAGCCTCAAGTTTGGAACTTGGCTGACTCAGGTTTTTTTTTCTCTAAATTAGGTTAGGTTAGGTTTAATAGGTTAAATTTAAACTAAAATTTCTACCGAGGTTGCTAACCAAGTGGGCTCATTTTTTGACAGATTCGATCTAAATTCCTTTGTGCAACCAGAGGAGACGCCTCCTGCTGGCCATCAGGAAGAATGCAGGTCCAAGGCTGGACTCTCAGACCTGGAGGCTGCATCAGTCTTTTATGTACAGTTTGTTTCAGAAAGACGCTGAACTGAGAGGATGTGTTCATTCAACACTTCAAAGCTACAGAATCCAGAAAAAGAGCCCCAGATGCCGATGGCAGTTTGAGATTGGGTTCAGAGTTGGAGCCAAAACTTGAAGCAGCTCTTTGACACCAAGAGAACCGGTTCCCTGCCAGGAGGACTTGTTCTAGACGGGCACCAACACTTTGCTGGTGTAGAACCAAGGAGTGGGGATGGATTACCGTGACCAATAAGACCGACTGATGCATGACGCTCTGCTGCAGGAGCTTGCGAGCTGTTTCGTGGTCAGTTCATTCCTACAATACGCTTTTCAGGGATGCACCAACTCCAGGGTCGGTACGTCTCAGTTGCCTTTAGGTTGCTTGGTGGGATTTAACACTGACTGGTTAATCCAGAGACGATAGCGAGCGCCTTTTTTTTTCTTTTGGATGCCATCATCCAGTAGCTTCTCCTTCATAACATCATCATCAACTCAATAAAATTCAAACATGCTCGTACACCTGGAGTTACGTCCACTAGCTACAACTTGTCGTTGTTTTAGCGCACTTTGTTTGAGGCAAAGCTGTCGAACTCTGTGGAAAGCCAACTTTTATTTACATTTTTTTTTAAAAACAACCTTTTTGCGATTTCAATGGGAACCAATCAGCGCTCGCTCTCTGCCCTAATGAGTTTACTCGTTTATTTTGGGTGAATTTCAAGTCATTTTGGACACATTTGAAGTAGTTTAGGACAAGTTTCAAGTCAACTGGCCAAATGTTTGACCACCTTCGTCAATTTTTGAGTAATTCTGAGTAACTGTTGACATATTTATTCAATTTCTGGCAGATTTCAGGTCATTCGGGGCTCATTTAAAGCAATTTGGACGATTGTGTTTCATTTTGGACACATTTTGAGCCATTGCTGGTCAATATTTTAGAAGGCTTGGACAAGTTAATTGTATTTTTGGACCTTTTCTGATTCATTTTGGACAATCTTGGTACATTTTTTGTGACCGCCTTGTTTGAAAAAGCCAGAACAAATGTGCCTCATCCAAAGAAGATGAGAAATGTTGATGTATTTGTCCAATTTTCGCCCCAGTTTGATGATTCCATATGGTCAACATAAATACTGTTGTTCTGGTGTTCACGAACCCTGACTGCTGCTCACTATGGCTTTAATAATCACCAATGTTGTAACCATGTGTTTACGAATGCTTGTGCTGACAACACTTCGCGACACCAACCGCTGTTTGCAGCCGCGTCTACGAGAACCGACCGCTGATGCGAGAACATTGAACGGCGGGAAAAATGAGGCGACTAATGGTCTCATCATCTTTCCAGCGGAGATTCACGGGAGGACAAACTGCCTCCTGACGCTGTGGCCCTCAGCAGATGTTTAGAATAAACCAGAGGGAACACGATGATGTGGCTCCATGGGGTTAGCATTAGCGCCGGTCCACAGCTAGCTTGGAAAGGGAGCGAACCCACCTGCTGCCACAGGCATCGTATTGAATCTGTGGTCGGTTTGGTGCAGCATCCAGAGCATAAACACTGGATCGGTCCTTACCCGGTGCTGTTGAGGTAGTTCTGGCCCTGGCTGCAGCTCCTGGACACGGTGGACGGATTGAACCAGAAGGCCGGTCTGCAGTTCCCGTCGCCGCGGCGCTCATATCCATAATCACTGTTGAACAACAAAGAACAGCCATCGATCAATATCAGCATGTGAACAGGAACATATTGTCCCACAGTGCTCTTATCGGCGTCTAACCTGAGGCCTGTCTGGCACCGAGACGCGGCGTTATTACGTATTGATCAGGTCGCCGCCGCCGCCGCCGCCGCCGCCGCTGACAGATGCACGGTGAAGCTGTGTGTTTATGGAAACGCAGCCGGAGGCGACGGCTCGCTTCCTCACACAAAGGCTCTCGCTTACCTGCCAGCGTTTCCAATCAAAACGTGATTTACATGCAACAAAGCAAAGTAAGCAAGTGCCCCCTCTAATAACAGTCACGACATTGATTTATCAATTAATTACCGGCCAGAACTAATAAACCACGCTAACGAGCCTGTAGCTGACTAGTCCGGTTTGACTCCGTGATTACAGCGGCGCGAGCTGTTCATTAACGAGCCGTCAGAGCTGATTGGTTGCAGACGAGCAAGCAGGTGGAAGGTCAGCGCGGCGGCCATGTTGGAATGAAGCAGAGTGAGAAGGTGTGAAGGCTGCAGATCACACAAACCTCTCAAACAAATCAGGGAAGAAATCCATTTAAATAACGGATTAGTTGTTGCAGGTGTCAAACGGCTTTCATCTTGAGAAAAAAAAACTATTTTATTTTAAGTTTTTCTTTGGTTTAATAAAGCATCGATGCAGCACACATGAAGCTAGCAGGCCGCTAGCTTAGCTTAGCATTAACAGCTGGTTAATTAACGCATTATATCTTATTTGTTTGTTCTATATGTAAATGTAATAAATGGAAAAAGAAGCAGAAACGATGAGCTTTGAAATGCAAACATGAAACTTCACGGGTCTTTGTAGCGATGCGTTTTAACTTTTTTGCAAAAACACGTCTCATCATCACAAATAAGTCTATGTTTATGTCACTTGTTGGTCAATTTTTGAGTAATTTTGCACCAACTTACGTCTAATTCTGGATTAATTTCAAGTCATTTTAGACACTTTTTGAATAATTTGTTTAATTCTGTGAAAGTTTTCACTCTTTTGGACGAATCTCAGCTCCTGACGTTCATGTTTACGTCAATCTGAACATGTTTCACGTCAGTTTGGAGTCATTTTAAATTATTTTAATCACTTCTGACATCATGCTATTAGCTGTCGTTCTGCGGCTGGATTCCTCTCACCTGAGCACGTCGCCTTGTTTTGAGTCATTTTGAACAATTCTGAACACATCTTGGATCAATTTTCTTTACCATTTGGACCTGTTTCAGATCATTTTGGACAAATATTCCATCATTTTTTTTAGTTATTGAGGGCAGTTACTTAATTCTGGAGAGGTGGGAGCTGGTTTTGGACAATTTTCAACACGTTTATGTCGATTTAAACACGGTTTTTGGACATTTTTCACTAATAAATTGAGGAATAATGATGAATTCAGCAGCTGAGTTTGCACAAAATCGGACTTGGAAACAAACCAGCGGATGAATATCCTACGTGGAGATCTGAGGTTGTGTTTCAGTCAGACCAAAAATAAATGTGATTCATACAAAAAGCTTTTCTATTTTTTGAAGCGTTTTGTCTGGAGCTGGAGAGGGCAGAAGCAGTCTGACCCCGAGTTTAGTGTTTTTAAATGCAGTCGAGCTTTTAAATGTGGTTCAACTGAGCAACACGAGGAGGATCTCTGCACACGAACAAAAACAGAAGCATTGTTTATGTGAAGAAGTCCTGAAAGCTGCACGACTTTTTAACAAGAATCTGCCAAAACAAACTTCCCCGAGCAGCAGATGGGCTGCAGCGGTGGATTAGCTTCGTGCTAAAATCACACGTGCACGAATCACATCGGAGTCTGTTTGGAACGAATCGAATCAAAGCGAACGAGCTGCAGCTTCCTGATTCCTTCATTTAGTTCAGGAAACGTCTGATCAAACGTCACATAAAGAAGAAGCTGAATCAGTGATCGGAGACGACTGGTCACTGTTTAAACACGTCTGGGTTCATTTCATTCTGTTGCAGTGCTACAGTTAGCGTGTTAGCAGCTGATCCAACGCTTTACCCCTCTTAGGTTAAAGGATTGTTTCAGCATTGATGGCTTTTAAAAGCACTCACCAAATAATGCTGGACAGCAATTTTAAGAGATTTTGACAAGTTTATTTAGTTTTAGACAGGTTTCTAGTCATGCTGGGCATATTCTGAGCCATGTTGGACAAGTTTATTTCATTTCAGACACATTTTAGGCTGTTTTTTTGTCGTCTGTTTCATTGTGGACCCCTGTTGAGCTAACATTGTTGACACATTTAAAATCATTTTGGTCAATTTTTAGGTGATTCTGGAAAAGTTTATTTCATTTTACAGCAAAGTTCAAGAGATTTTGGACACTTTTTGGACAATTTGAGTCATTCTGGACAGGTTCTGACCTACGTTGGACTAGTTTATTTCATTCTGGACACATTTTTAGGCATATTTGGACAAGTCTGTTTTATTGTGGACCAATGTTGAATCATCTTGGTTGATTTTTTAATAACTCTGGACATTTTTGGGGTATTTTTGAAACACGTTGGTCAACTTTGGGGTATTTTTGGACAAATTTCAAGTCATTCGGACTGTCAAACACTGACACGAGTCATTTTAAACAAATGAGTCATTTTTGACCAGAATATTTTATTTTTTTTAATCGTTTTGGGCCCGTCTGTGACACTGTGGGCCAATTTTGAGCCAACTGTGGTTATTTTTGAATGAGCTTATATAATTTTGGACGTGGTTTAGGAAATCTGGGGTAAATTTCATGTCGGTTGAACGATTTTTGAGTGGTTTTGGACACATTCAGGTCATTTTGGACAAATTTGGAACAACACTGGTCACTTTCTGAGTATTTTTGGGCAAATTTAAAATTAGCTTGGTAAATTTTTGAGTAATTGTCAACAAGTTTATTTCATTTTAGACACATCTTAGGCTCTGTTTGTTCATTGTGGACCAGTTTTGAGCCATGACGGTCAGTTTTTGAGTAACTTTGGACAAATTTCAAGTCATTTTGGACAAATATAAAATCATTTTGGTTGATTTTTAAGTAACTCTGGACAAGTGTATTTAATTTTACAACAAAGTTCAAGAGATTTTAGCCACTTTTTGGGTCTTTTTGGACAAAATGGACACGAATATTTAATTTTGGACAAGGTTGTAGTCAATTTGGACAAATTCTAGGCAACTTTGGACAAGTCTGTTTCACTGTGGACTAATTTTGAGGATCTTGGTTATTTTTGAGTAATTCTAGACAAATTTTTGCCAAATTTCAAGTAATTTTGAACACATTTTAGGAAATTTGGGCAAATTTAATGACAGTTGACACATTTTTGAGTGGTTTCAAGTCATTTTTAGACAAATTTTTCATGAATTTTTGAGTATTTTTGGGCAAATTTAAAGTTAGCTTGGTTAATTTTTCAATAACTGCGGACAATATTTTTTCCCTTTGGATTCAGGAGAAGCCTGCGGTTGGTCTGCTCAGCTTTCAAACCACAAATGAACCGTGTTGGAGTCTGTTTGGAGCGAATCAAATCACCGTCTCAGCCTCTCGCTCGGTTACATTTAGGGTTAATAAATACGCATTTAGCTGATCACGCTGCAGACAAACGCACCTCGAATTAGCTGGAATTTTATTCCTGCATTAATGCCTTTTTAAAATCCCGGTTTTAGGATTTCCATCATGCCCAGAACGTTCCCCCGCAGAGAGGCAGACGGACGGGAATCAGAAAACGGAACCAGTTAGCGCTGCTTCAACAGGAACCAGTTAGCGCCCAGTTCCTCTAAAACACCGTCCACAGAACCGCCGTACGCCGGGATGTGTTTCCTTTTCTTTCTCTCTCTCTTCACTGTCATTACAAGATAAAAAAAAAAAAATACAACCGTTCAGGATTTGCATACAAATTGAAACTATTTACACCCCCACACGGTCTGGAGAGAATTACCAGCACGGCCAGCTCACGGAGAGACTCGCATTACGAGCAAATCGTGTGAAACCAAACCAAACTTATCAGATTATTGGAAAACACGTAGCAAATGGAGCAAATTAACGAGACACGCGGACACACATGATCCCGCGTACGTCGGCCTCCGGGACGAATCCGCGGAGCTCCAGATTCACCGACGGCTCTGAGGTTGTTGTTGTTGTTTGTTGTCGGAGGGACGGCGGCCGTCTCCGGTTTGTGATTCCGTCGGCGCTGCTGCATTTTCCACAAGAACAAACATCCATCAAGCTAATTTTCTTCAAAATGTCTGCGTCCGCTCAGCGGGTTTAGTAACAAATGTGGTTATTAGAAAACCATTAAGAAGAGAAAGAGGACGTAAGGACACGGCGGAGCTGAAAGAACAGGGTTGTTCTAATCTGGGCACAAGTTTTACGTCTGTTTGGACACTTTTGGAGCAATTTATTTACAAGTCTGCTTCATTTTAGAAAGAATTTAAACCACGTTGGTGGATTCTGAACTCACTCTGACCTATTTATGACATTTATTTTTTGATTTTGGTGATTTTTTGAGCCACTTCGGTCAACTTTTGAGAAATTTTACACTAATTTGTGTCATTTTGGACACATTTTAGGATATTTTTGACAAATGTATTTCACATTAGACACATTTTGAGCCCATGTTGGACACTGTTTGAGTGATATTGGACACATTTATTTGCTTTCTGAAAAACATTTCAGTCATGTTGGTCCATTTTTGTGTAGTTTTAGGCAACTTTATCTAATTTTGGACAAATTTCAAGTCATTGTGGATTCTGTTTGAGATATTTTGGACCCTTCTTTCATTTTTGACAGGTTTCAAGTCATATTTGAGTCACATTTGTCCCTTTTTCCCTTTTTTGAGTCATGTTGACACATTTATTGAATTTTGGAGTCATTTTGGACATTTTTGATGCTATATTTTGGATTCTAGCTGGTTTCTTTGTTTCTTTTGGTCAATTTTGATGAATTTTGAACACATTCTAAGCCATTTTGGACACATTTATTTGATTTTGGACATTGTTTGAGTCATTTACTTGGTTTCAGGAAAAAAACATTTGAGCCATGTTGGTCAATTTTTGTGTAGTTTTGGGAAAGTTCATCTCATTTTGGAGTTATTTTGTGAACAATTATTTCATTTTTGACAGGTTTCAAGTCGAATTTAAGCCAGTTTGTCCCTTTTTGGGTTATTTTGGACACTTTTTAAGCTATTTTTTAGTAAGTTTGCTTCATTTTAGAGAAGTGGACAATTTTGATGGATCACATTCTAAGCTATTTTGGACACATTTATTTGATTTTGGACACAATTATTTCATTTTTGACAGGTTTTAAGTCAGATGTGAGCCATGTTTGTGCCTTTTTGAGACATTTTGGACAATTTTTGAATCATTTTGAACACATTCAGAGCTATTTTGGATAAGTCTGCTTCCTTTTAGACAGATTTTAAACCCTTTTTGTTTGTTTTGAGTGATTTTGAACCCATTCTGAGCTATTTTGGGCACATATACTTGATGCTGGACAACTTTTGATCCATCTTGGTCAATTTTTAAGTAACTTTAGACCCATTTATTTAATTTTGGACAAATATCACGTAATTTTTGACTCATTTTGGGCTATTTTTTGACAAGCATATTTCATTTTAGACAGATTTTGAGCCCACATTGGACACTGTTTAAGTCATTTTTGACACATTTATTTGATTTCGTCATTTTAAGTTATTTTGGAGACATTTTAAGCTATTTTTTGTAAATTTTCAAGTAGTTGTGGACAAGCGTGTTATATTTTTGACACATTTTGAGTCATTTTAGAAACATTTTAAGCTATTTTTCTAAATTTGTGAGTAGTTTTGGACGAGTGTGTTACATTTTGGACACATTTTGCGTCATTTTGGATGAATTTCGAGCCACTTTGGTTAATTTTTGAGTACTTTTGGAGTGGAGCTCAAAACAATGTTGTTTTTCTCATCCGCACAGTTTTTTTTGTTCCATATTCAGCTCGTTAAGAGCTGAAGCTGCTGGATTGGATCAACCCTGAAGAGCACGGCTGAGTGGACTGAAGAGGGTATTAGGTTGATGGATGCACTTGAAAATAACAAACGGCGACTAAATCAGAGCTTTTATTTAAAAAAATCACAGCGTTTTTTTTCCTCCTACTTTTTGCGTTTAACTACACGACCTGTTGAGCCTCTTTCACATTTGGCAGCTGCCCACCAGAGGATGACTAAAGAAAAGACTTATCATAAAAACCCCCTCGCCCGGTTTGAAAGCGGCGCCGCTACATGTGTGGCAGAACAAACGCCGAGTTAATGAAGTTCTCCTTTAGCAGACAATGGGGGAAACATAATCCCCCTCGGCGATTATGAAGAAAGGAGCTACTGCACAAAGGAGCGCGTCGTCTTACCATTCAAAATCATGAGCTCGGCAAATGCAGGACTCGGCTGAGAGGATTCTGGAGTAGTCTCTTCCCAGCATGCAGTAGTTTCCGGGCCGGCGCTTCATGTAAATCTGCTTCTGTCCCATCACACACGGCTCGCCCTGCCGGAACAAGAGCCGTGAGCTAAAACTCTGCCAGAGGAGTCGGCGGAGTCGGAGGCGGCTTTTCGTTCCGTCCTACCTGGTTGTGCAGGTGCCACGTCTGGTAGTCCTCCTCGGTGCACTTCCTGCTGAAGATGGACTTGTAGTCGATCTTGATGAGCTGCCACTCGGAGCGATGGCTGAAGTGGCCGAAGAAGCTGCAGGGAAGGGAAGGAGTTCAATCAGAGAGAAGGCGTAAGAACGGGAGGTGAAACCGATTCACAACAGCAGTGAATATGTGGAAATACAGCAGAGAGCCACAACATTAAAACCACCTGCTAAACACTGGGTAGGACGAATGCAGCAGGTCCTTCAAGTCCAGGCATGTGGGACTAGTTTCAAGTCATTCTGGATAATTTTTTGTCAATTCTGATACATTTCACATAATTTTAGACACATTTCAAGTCATTTTGGACAAATTTTAGTCATCTGGATTAGTTTCAAGTCATTTTGGATAAATTCTTGTCAATTTGAACACATTTCAAGTCATTTTTGGACACTTTATGAGTCATTTTGGACACATTATAAGTAAGTTTTGGAAACATTTCAAGTCATTCTGGATAAATTCTTGTCAATTTCAATACATTTCAAATCATTTTAGACACATATCAAGTCATTTTGGACACTTATTGAGACATTTTGGATGCATATCAAGTCATTTTGGAGGCAGTTAAAGTCATTCTGGACAAATCTTTGTAAATTTGGACATATTTCAAGTCATTGTCGACATTTTTTTGTCACTTGGTCACATTTGAAGTCATTTTGGAGGCATTTTTAAGTCAGTTAGGACAAATCTTTGTAAATTTGGACATATTTTAAGTCATTTTGAACAATTTTTTGTCATTCTGTCACACTTCAAGTCATCTTGGAGGCATTTCAAGTCATTTTGGACATATTTTGAGGTTTTTTTGGAGACTTTTTGAGTAATCTTGAACAACTGGGTCATTGCGGACACAAGTATATTTCATTTTGAGCAAGTGTCAAGTTTCATTGTGGACCAATTTTCATCCACATCTCGGTCAATGTTTGACTAATTTTAAACAGGTTTATTTCATTTTGGACAAGTTTTGGGCAAATTTCAAGTAATTCTGGAAACTTTTTGGAGTCATTTTGACAATGAAGTCATTCTGGACAAGTTTCAAGTCATGTTGGGCCATTTTGGACAATCTGTTTCACTGTGGACTCATTTTGGGTGATTTTTGTCAATTTTTAGGTAACTTTCGACAAATTCCTTTCGTTTTTGGACACATTTCAAGTCATTTTGGACAGTTGGTTCATTTGAAGAAGCATGTTTCCTTTTGGACAAATTATTGGTTGTGTTTTGAGCACTTTTGTGTATTTGAGCACAGAGCAGCCTTTAGGGAGTCTTGGACGTTCTCACCCATCTGGGGTTTTCCTTCCTTGGACATTTTTAATAACTGCTGCAGATCTCCTGCTGCTCTGGAGATGCTCTGATCCGGTCAGAGTTTGTTAAAGTCCTCTCAGATCTTCCTGCTTCCAACATCAGCTTCAGGATCTGACCGTTCAGCTGCTGCCTCGTGACTCCACCTACCGACGGCGTAACAACACAATCGATGCTCTTTGGCTGTCTGTGGTTTTAATGTTGTGGCTCATTGATGTAACAGTGCAGCCCATGAGGAGGGAAACACGACTCAGTGAATCCGTTTAGCAAACAGCAGACATAAAATCAGACTGAGAAGAAAAAGCTGCAGCTGCAAAAACCACAGCGAGGACTTTGTTTCCTCACAGACAGAAGTAAGCGCTGACGGATGTTTGCTGTTTATTGCCGTCATTTTCTCTTCCAAACAAGTTCGGTTAACCTTGTGTGTGTGTCGTTCTCCTGATTGCTGATGATCATTGATCACCGTAAGTGATGTTTCATGCCCTGTTTGACTCCTAATTCCCAGATCTCAGCAGCGAGCGTCCTGCCAACCGGAGCAATAACTGTCAGTAATTATGTATTTATTATCTCAGTCAGCTTTGCTCTGGATCCCACACCAACACAGTTTTCTGCCAAAGCTGTTTTTTTTTTGTTTTTTCCACCAGAGAGATTTCAGTCGGGAAGGTTTTTGTTGGTTTTTTGGTTAAAGTTCAGGCTTCCGACAACATTTTTCATTTTTAAAAATCTGAACTTTTCCAGACTCGAATTTCCATATAAAGATTTTTCATCTGAGCAGAAACAAACTATGAATAATGCTTCTAAAATCCATCTGCTAGCCTGTCTGCTGCTAGCTCACATGACACAAAGCGTTTCACTGAAGCTGCAACATCTCATATTGAATAAATAACATCGTGTTTCTGCTCCATCCACATATTTTCGTGTCTTTTGTGGATAAAAAGTCAAATAACTCCATTTTCTTGCACCTGTGCAGCCTTAATTATTCACCTCAGGGACGATAAACGATGACTGAACGTTCAGCTCTTTCCGTTTAAAGACCTCGCTGCAGTTTCTCTCTAGTATTTCCCGAAGTCTGCCGAACTATCGGACGAGAACAATAGTTCAAATACACGTTTGTGAGCACTGGAGTATGTTTAAAGTTTTAAAGTGTGAATCCTGTCACGTTCCAGACGTTAAAGTCGCGGCGGAAAACGTTTAAGCTGCGAGAAACGATCCTGTTGTCTGGACTTTAAAGCTCAAAAGAGACAAGAGTCTGGAAATATAAATACTTTTCTCTGTTTTTGTTTTTTCCAAATTTGTCCTGCATCTGGAAATCATTCAAATCTAATCCGAACCCTGTTGTGTTCAGTCACACTAAAATATTCAAATACGAAGTCGTATCTTCAGCGGCTTTAAGGAGCAACGACTGCAGCTCCGTTAAAACCTTTGAGGCTGAACCCTCAGGGGGATGCTTTAATTTACGACCCTTTGAGGATATTAGAGGACAAAAATGTCCCCTGAGGGTTAAAGTTTCTGGACATTTTTACTCACTGTGGGTTCGTTTTTAACTGCAATAAAAAGTTCTGCAAGTTCTGTCAACTGCAGGTTAAAAATCACACAAAACAGAAGAAAAAAAAAGTTAAAAAAATGTCTTAATTTTACCAAAAAAAAGGAAAAAAATGGAATTAACATGTAGGACATCCAGTGTAACCAGGACTGGATGAGCTCTCTGTGCTGTAAATGTTTTCTTATTTACATGTTTTATTTGTCTCTGTGTTTTTCTGTTCTGTTTAAACACTTCCTGCAGTTCAGCCTAATAAAAAAAATCTCTTAATTTCTGTCACGTGACCGTCGCTCTCGGCTGAGTCACTTCACGGTCGCACCAACGACAAAATCTGGCAAATACAACAAACAAGACATGAAATATTTTTGATTTTAGGTTCAGATTCGGTTGTTTCTGGCCGTCACACACGATTAGCTGAAGGATCGTCAGAAAAATCCAACAATTATTTCTGTTCTTACACTTTTTTTCTCTCATCAAACAGAAAATAAGGGAATAAAATACTGAATCAGGCACAACAGGATCAAACATTAAGTCCATCCAGAGCAGCTGAAATCACGTCTGCGTCGAGGTTTTTTTCTCTCCGGCCTCCGTCGGGCTTCAGAGGGCTAACGGGTGATTTTCCTGATAGCAGACGGCTCCATCAGTCGACCTGCATCCACCTGACGACGGCCTTCCTGCTCTTTCACAGCCTTTTTACAAAATGTGGCCTAATAAAGACTAAACAGAGCGTTGAATGGAGGCTTCTCTGAAAAGCTCCTCGATTCATTTACACTAAAGAAGAAGAAAAAAAAGCAGGACTGAAGGGAACAGAGAGCCTCGTTCACCTTTCACTCGTCGTCATCGGCACCTTTTAACCAACATTCAGCACCTCTTGTGTCCTCCTTTCTTTTGTGGACTTACGTCATGATCTGGTTCTCGGCCCCGGCCTCCACCAGGACGCCGTCCACGAACAGCGGCACCGAGGAGAAGCTGTGCTGGGTCCACTGCCTGCCCTCGTCGAAGCTGACCCTGCAGACGAGCGAGAGGGTCACAAAAAACCCGCCAACAGAAGCAATTAGCTGCTGCAGCTTTGGGTGGAAAGGAGAGTGAGTTAAGAGACACGGAGGAACGAGGAAGTGTTTCGCAGACAGGAATAGAAGCGTTTCATGTTCTCGGCTACAAGAACCGGACAGCTTTCATCATCGGGTCGTCGGCTCTATTGATTCTGACAGCTTATCAACATCGGTGCCGAAGTGAGAACAACTCAAAGACAAGAAGAAAAAAAAAAGCCCCGCCAGAATAAAAGCCCGGTTTGGCTACACGCAGCCGGTTGAACTCGTCCACCTGCTGCTGCCTCGTATCCGTCAGTCTCCTCCTGCACTTAAATTGGTCGGGAGACAAAAAAGCCAGCAGCAGGCTACACTCGGCTGCTTCTAAAACTAATTTCAAAATTGTTGCAAAAAAAAAAAAGAAGCGGAGAACAGATCCGGTCTCACTTGGATTAGCCGGCGCTGAGGCAGAGCGTGGGCCTCCGATGTTGGCAAGAGGAAGCCGGCGTGTTAATGAAAACACTAAAAAGTGTGTGTGTGTGGGGGAGGGGCTCACGCTGCTGCCTGCTAATGATAAGTGGCTGCTGAAAAAAAAAAAAAAACTCAAATTAGATTGACTTTTTTTATTTTATTTGCAGGAGCAGCAGTCAAAGTGCATTGCGAAATGGATCAGGCTCCATAATATATACACGCTGCTGGTTTTTTCTTTCTTTCTTGGATCATAACGGTTGGATTCACCTTAAAATAGCCGCAGGAGATTGGAAAAAGCAATTTAAGGAAGGAGTCCAGAGAAGAAGTGATGCTACAAGAGGACGTACCACAAGTGTCGGGTCGGAACCGACGGCTGCTTCACGGCCACCAGAGCGCCGCCTTTGTCCAGGAACCACACGTTGTGCTCCTCCTCGAAGATCTGGACACACGACATGCAAAAGTTAATGCAACAAAGTCATGCATGTTCAAAGAGGAAGTCTGAAATAGTCAGTGAGGGTGTTTAACGTCTGATAACAAACAGATTATTAGTAATTAGGCAGATGGATCACTGATGTTTGGAATATTTGCTGTAAAATCAACATAAATATTGGTTAAGTCACAGAAGAAAAAGCAGTAATTTACAAAAAACAAGATTGCACAAGTTTTACTGTATTCAAATCAGCAAACATTTTGTTTTTTTTTTAGAGATATTTGCTGTTTTTTAAAAGTAAATTATGTAAATTAAGAGATGGTGATGGTTAAAGACATTTTTAAGCTGTAATTTCACAGATTTTCGGCGAAAATAGTCCAGAGAGGTCGAATGATTTATATTATTAGTAACCAGGATGATCGATAACTGATATTTGGACCATTTGCAGTAAATTCAACATAAATATTGGTAAAGTCACAGAAAAAAATGTATTAATTTACATGTTAATTGTCAGAAAATAAATAAATAAATAAAATTTTTCAACTCTAAGATGACACTTTTTTTTTTAAACTGTATTCAAAGCAGCAACATTTTATTTCTATTTTAGAGACATTTGCCGTTTTTTTTTTTTTTTTAAGGAAATTATGCAAATTAAGAAATGATTAACACATTTTGAAGCTGTAACTTTACAGATTTTCTGTCTACAAAACCAAAAGCAGATCGATAATTGCAGTAAAAAAAAAAAAAAAAAAAAAAAAAAAATGCAGATTAAAAACAATCCAATTAGAAAAAATGTCAAAATTCAAAAATCATTTGTTTCAAAAAAGGTATTTTGGTCTTTTAAAATGTTCAACAGCGAAATTAATATATATTTTTTTCTATCGTTAATTTTACAGATATTCAGCATAATTTGAAAGTAAAATCACGTCTATTAAAGATTTGAAAGGAATGTAAAATAATATTTTAAATGGTATTTTGTGGATTTTTGCTTGTTTTGGTAAAATACAATTTAAAAAAGTCCACGTAAAAAAATCAACATTTTTATAAAAGGTGATTTATGCTTTTTGCAATGTTAAACACATTTTTTACTTGATTTAAAACAGTTTTTAAAAAGCCAATATGAGCCATTACTTGAAAAACAGAAGCATAATAAAGACTGAAGACGTTTTATTTCTTATCCGTCCATCTCACTGCTCTTTATTGGCCATGAAAAGCTTTAAATATAGAAAACAAAGCAGAAATCGAGCCGCTGTGTAGCTTCAGCTGTGTTTTTATCGAGTAATTAAATTACAGTTTGACCTCGTGTTAACCAGCTGTACGATATAATAAAAGAAAACGCTGCTCTTACATGTTTTTCTGTCTCGTATTCTATTTCCAGGAGACGTTTACATGCTTCACACCACCTCTGTCTATAAGTTCCTGTCTCTTTAAGCTCTGACATGTTTGAAACCAGAAACTTCCTTCAAAGTTTAAACTGCTCACAATGCCTTGAGTGTTATTCCTCTATATCTGTGTTTGGATTTCTTTCACAGTTTCTACGCAGTTTCACTTTTTAGGATTTTTTTAATGAACTTTTACTTCAGTGAAAATTTGACCAGATGTACTTTTTTGAAAATGCAGTTAACCTCGTTTCTGTCTCTCTAACCTGTCGCCAAATCTGCATAAAACACAGTACGGACGAAAAAATACATCAGAATGTTCAGAACAAGATTGAGCTTCATGCGGTGAAAGAATTTTGTCAATCTGACTCATAGTTTTTCAGCTGTGGCCGTTGATTCGAGGGTTTCCTCTGCTCACTGCAAGCAGCCGGTGACTCGCAGCTGATTGGCTGTTTGATAGACTTTCAAAGTAAAAGCTCAAAGATGTTTAAAGGTGCCCTTTTTCTGCTAAATGCCTCATTTTCACACTGAATATTTCTTTTACTTCCTTGTGCAACATGTGTCTAACAGAAGACGTTTGTTTTAAAGTGTTTCTGTGGAAACTCAGTGCGTCGCGGCTGCACAACACATCTGGCAGCAGCTGGCGTGAACCAGAACCTCACCGGTCTCCAGCTATTGCCGGCGTCCGACGAGATGAACATGCCCACGTTGTTGTAGGACAGCTCGGCTCCGATGTTCCCTGCGGTGGAAGAAAAAAAGCAACGAGTTTGCGGCGGTGAGATCACACAGATAAAAAAAGAAAAGGAAAAAAAAAAAAAAGGCCACGTGTGCGTTTTAAACACGTCAATCAAACGGATTAATTTATTCTCCTGGCGTCACTCCCAGATCGGCCCACCGCCTCTCGATCGGTGTGAACAATAAGAAAAGAAAAGCGGGTTAATTCTTCAGGACGCCAGCATCCTTCAGGTTGTGGAGGAGGAGGAGGAGGAGGAGGAGGCGCCGCTGACAGTTGGCAGCGTTACAGCACACTGCTTCTTCTTCTTCTTCTTTTATTTCTTTATTTTCTTCTTCTTCTTCTTCTTCCCCGTGCAGCGAGCGAACTGGTTCTTCCTCTGCTCCACTGTCTTGGCGGCGGCTCAGCAAACAGGCATGTGTTTGATCTGGATGGTGTTTGTCATGTTGGTGAGATGATCTCTGCACCAGCTGACGTCTTAAAAGGCGCAGCGGGCGAAAGCGCATCGCCGTGCCAAAGCAAAGCCTCGGCCAGCAAACACACACACACATGCATGGAAAACACACTGTTTGCTCGGCATCCGCACACGCCGAAGACTAAACACACCGGCGTGCAGGATTCCTCGCACGCCTCGTTTGGTCCACGTGAGCACCGTCGGCTGGGTGACGTCGCCCTGAACAGGTGGAGGCAGCAGAGGTCCTGCAGCGTTTTCTGACCGCCGAGGCTGAAAGATTCTGTCAGACAGAAGCTTGAACGAGGCCACAGAGGGGTCACATCACCGAGCGCTCGTCTGAAATACCGACGAGCCGACGCATAATTAAACACAAATATGTGACTTCTTACCGTCTACGTGTGGATTTATGACACTAAGACTGTGGCGGACCTCAGCTAAAGGAAATCATGACATTGATGGTAAAAAAAAAATGCAATTTTTCCTTTTAATTACATTTTTTCTCCATATTTTTTAAATACATTCACATATCGATGGAATTACAAAACCTGACGGTGAATTTTGTGACATTTTTTTTTTACGTATAAGGATGCAAATTCACACGTATTTCCTTTTTCTTTAATAGATGCAGCTCAGTGCATTAATATTTGGGGGGGATTGGTAACAACTGGTGACAATTAATAGAAAAGCATGATTGATTCTGTAATTTTACATCAATTTGATTCTTAAATGAGAAATATATTGGATAATTAATTCATTTTTCTGTATTTATTTTTACATTTTTGAATAATTTACCAAAACAAATTGCGTATTTATATGTCAAATGTAAAATTATTCTATAAACCTGTAATACTTAAGATAGTTTCAGTTATTTTCTTCATTATTTTTCCATAAACAGGCTGTAAAATGTCGCAAATTGGCTGCCGTGTCACAAATACTCACTTTTTTGCTAAATTCAAGCCTAATACTGTAAATATTTTGGGGGATTAGATACAAACAGTGACGGTTAGAAGAGAAATATTAATGACTTATAATAATTTTCCGTACATACATCTTGTATAAATACAAAAGTTCGACAAAAATGTTTAATAAATGTCTTTTCATTGGTGTTTGATGTCTAGAAGCTCCACCAATGTGTCAGAACACTTCGCTGCATCTATCAATACCTGATATAATAATAATATTCATCCTGTTACATTAATATACGAGTAAATTTAAGGCTAGAAATTAATTTTATTGATGTATGATTGGCTGTCTTGGGAGGGTAGGAATATTCAGATCTTAAACTTGTTATCCAGACACCACCACGACCAAATATTCCGATATCCGGGTCCATCCCTACTGTGTTGGTCGATGCATTCGCCTCCTCCTCGGTCGCCGCCGTGCTTCTCGCTCCACATGCATCAGACTGGACCAAAACAACGGCACTTCAATCTAATTTTATCGTGATATTTCAATTTCCATATCCTCCCCTAACATGACACCGGTATGATACGGCCCGACCCCAGTGGAACGTTTCTCGTTGTGAAAAACGACACCAAAGCTCGTCAGATAAAGAACACAACGATCTGGACGTCACAGAAATCCAGCTTCCTTGACTCACCTGTGGCAACGATGATCCCCGGGGCGGAGCTCTTTGTGGTGATGGTTCCCGACAAATATGGGTTCTCAGACATTTGCAGCTGGAGATGGAGGGAACAGAAAGGCTGGAAAAGAACGAGAAATGTTGAATTTCAGCTTCATATACCGGAGCACATATGATAAAGTTGTGCATCAGCTTGTTTTTAACGACCTGCCAGGTAAACAACAGAGGCAGAGCCGATGTGAAAACGATAGGGTCAGAAAAAAATGAGAGAACAACACCAACAACAACAAAAAAAAGCCATATTCATTAGTCTCCCAAAGAGGGAGCGAGCGGCGCCTTCATAAGTTTTTGCTAATTGCATTTAATCTGTCATTAATACAAAGAGCGACGGAATTTGCATTAAAGTGTGAAGCCGAGCCTCCGGGGCATGAACACAACACAAGACAATTACATTTGTTCACGCAGCAGAAAAAAAGAGAAGAAGAAGACGTGTCTGCTTTCATGTCTGCAGCAGACAGCGTGTCACTGGTGTAAGGACGTCGAGGGCAGCGGGACCGAACAGCGTAATCAAAAGGAATCTACGGCACTAATTAAAATGTCACATGAATGCGCAATCACGGGGAACCTGCGAGCCACGGCGCGCGACCCTGAAATCACCTCCCAAACAGCGTGACTTCCTTCTAATGTCTCCGACACGATTCCTCCCAACAGTCGGCATGTTGTTGGTGGTCGCGGGGAGGCCGGCTAATGAGGACGGGCTGTTAATACGAGCAGTAAATCTGGATCAGCCACTCCAGCACCTGACCCGACTTGCTGGGAAAAAAACGGGATGTTTAACTTTGTGTTTGTCGCTAAAAACAACCGGACGCTGCAGGAAAATTAACTTGTTGGATTTCTTTCCGGTGTGTAAATTCTCTTTTTTGTTTAAACAACGATAAGAAGCCCTCGTCTGCAGGTTGAGATCATGATAACATCCTAATGTGTGGGCTTTGGTCCTAATTCTACTAACAGCTAAAGAAGGCTTTTGGTATAAACCAACCTGCTGCACAGTTTCACTGGAAGTTTCCTCCTTTTACTGCTTTTCAACACTGAATTATGGTCAATTTAATTAGGCTTTTTCAAAACAATAATTTACTGTTTCATGTCAGAATGAATTTCTACAAAGTAATGCCAATTAATTAACATAAAATGTAAAATAAGGTGACTGCATAAGTATTGCGCATAAAATGACTCATCTAATTGAACACGAGTGCAGCCAGTTGGTCTGAGACATAATCAGTGAAATAAAGATCATCTGAGGTCAGTGAATGAGTCTCAGTGGTTGTAGTATAAAGACTCCTGTATCTGGAAGGTCCAGTCACTGGTGGATCCTGGATAGAACGACACCATGAAGACTAAACAACACTCCAAGAAACTCTGAGAGAAGGTTGTTGAAAAGCATCAGTCAGGAGATGATGCAAAGATGTTTCCAGGTCACTGAATATCTCTTGGAATCCAGTTAAATCCATCATCAAGAAATGGAAGAAATATGGCACGAGTGACTCGTGAGAAAGGCCACCAAGACACTTAGAGACTCCTCTGAAGGACTTCCCTAACCCTAACCCTAAGCTTCAGCAGCTGAGATGGAGACACTGTTCATACAGCAACTTTTGGCTGTTCTTCACCAGTTGAAGTTTTATTGGAGGCAAAGAGAAAGACTCACAATAAATCTGGACTAGAGTTCACCAGAAGACATTTGGAGACTCTGACGTCAACTGGAAGAAGGTTCTTTCATCTGAGGAGACCAAAATTTAGCTATCTGATCGTCAGACTAGATGCCATGTTTGGTGGACATCAAACGCACATCATGCACCATTCCCACTGTGAAGCACGGTGGTGGCATCATGATGTGGAGATGCTTCTAGTCAGCAGGTCTTGGAAGGCGGACTGCTGAAGCTTATAGGGAATCCAAATGTTTTGGATTGTTGGGTGTTTCTGTCTCTGCCTTTGTGAAGCGCTATGAGATGACTTGTTGTTGTAAATATGCACTATACAAATACAACTGAATTGAATTGAATTGAATTAAAGGTGTAGAGAAATCCTGGAGGACAACCTGATGCAGTGTGCAAGAGAACTGCGACTTGGGATTTAATTTGTTTTCCAGCAAGACAATGATCCAAACAGCAGAAGCTCAGAAAGAAAGAGAAGGTTTAAGAACAACAAGGTGAATGTTCTGTAGAGTCACAGCCCAGACCTCAGCCCAACTGAGAACTTGTGGCTGGACTTGGTCAGGGTTTGATTATTAATGATCTCTGACACTTTTACGAAGAAGAATGTGGTAAAACTGCAGCGTCCAGATGTTCAGGCTGATGGAGACCAATCCACACACGTTGTATAAATGGGTTTCCACTCTGACATGAAGGAGCCCATTTGTGTAAACTCTAGTTGGAAAAAGTCAAATTATATTGACCATGATTCAATGTTGAAAAGCACTAAAAAAAAAAAAGAGGAAAACTTCCAAGGGGGGTGAATACTTTTTATAGGCACTGTATATTGCCTTCTTTATCACTTTTTTTTATGGGAGCATTGTCACAACAGGAGTCCAGAGGTTTTCTCTGCTGCACTATTTATGTGTTGCAGTCGTTTAAGATAATCTGAAAAGCTGCCACTGATGCGTTCACAGCACTCCACACGCGTGTTTCACGTAAAATCGTTTGATGGTTTCAACTGAAACAATAATAATAAAAGCTGGCAGAAATATTGACTAATCATTCAAGTTATTTACTATTTTTTTCAGTCAGTTTAAAACACGGTATGGATTTAATGTATGTTTACTACATTAAGGGGATATGGAGCCACTGAAAGGTTCAATCTTTATTTCATTTTTTGTGCCTTACTTTTCTATTACCTCGCAATAATGTTTGCTGAGCTGTATTATGTGAGTCGGTGTGCCCTCAGCTGTGGCTGCCAGGCACAAGTTTTTTACCAAGGGGTGACCAGCATGGTTTTTGTAAGATCGATTTATTAATACTCGAGGAGAACAATAAAATACATTTTGAACCAATGTTCATTGCAGCACACAACAGAAGACGAGCTACAACGAGTAATATCTGTATTTATGTGTTGAACTAAAAGAGAACTTTTCAGCATTTATCCCAAACTTGTAATGCAGGGGTCTCCAATCCTGATCCTGGAGGGCCACAGTCCTGCATGTTTTAGATGTTTCCAACACACCTGATTCAAATGATCAGCTCATCATCAAGCTCTGCAGAAGCCTGATGACCATCCTGATCATTTGAATCAGGTGTGTTGGAAGAGGGAAACATCTAAAACATGCAGGACTGTGGCTCTCGAGGACCAGGATTGGAGGCCCCTGTTGTAATGAATTGGATGTATATCGGCATAATGGATCTGATAATCAGTCGACGCCTATCTTGGACCAATGCATTTGTATTGCAGTGTTATCCAAACTTACAGGAAGTTAACCAAAAGTAGTCCAGAGAAGGAGGTGAGCGTGAGAGAAAAGTACTTCTTACAATCACTTTGGGCTTCATAAACCACGAGCACAGCTGTTTGTTATAACTTATAAAGTGACACAATTGCGTCCTAAACTCCAGCTTCGCCTTGTTCAGTCTTTACATGACACATTTGCGTCTCCCTGTAAACAGAAGCAGCTTTGAGTAACTAGACAGTGCAGCCTCTTACCAGTATGCAGTGGATGTCGTTCCCGTCCAGGTCGGCAGCAGGAGCCTGCAGGAGCCTCCAGTCTCGGCCTTTGTTGTAGGTGATGTACGTCTTCACCTGGTTGTCTTGCCTCTTGTTAGCAATTAGCATGCCCTTAATTCCTGCCACCTGATGGACACACAAGCACAACAAACTTCAACCTCTCAATACGAACCAGGAGGGAGCATTTTACGCCTCCTGTCTCCCACAACAGTTCGGCTCTCAGGGCTGCAGATGAAAAAAAACAAAAACGTACCCAGTGCTCTCACCAGAACAGGCATTTTGTGTATTGAGGCAGCAGTCTTCACAACACTAGTTAAATGCAAATGGCGTGCTTATCCTGTCTCTTTCTGCTGCTGACAGCACCACTGCATTTTCTTATAGTGCGCTAAGTGCGATCTGTAATTATACCCTCACACGTCTCAGCAATCCAGGCGCCGCAAAATGACGGCCGCTCACAAGTGACACCGAATCACACACACAGAAAAAAAAAAAAGAAAAACACACTCCCGCAGACTTCCCTTCCCAAAATCCATCCTTGCTAGATGTCTCTCAGGGATTAGACACATCCCTCAGCCAAAACCAAAGCGCGATACGCAACGGAAAGGACAGAGTCACTGGGAGTGGTTGCCATAGTGAAGGGCTCCACTCGGATGTGCTTCCCTTCCCTGAAGGGGCACGTCTGTATAAGTGGCACTAATAGGCAGCACATTTGACATTGTCATAGAGACGTGGCGCCCAGGACGGATGCGGCTAACGAGGGTCCTCCCGTCCTTATCCAACCAGGCCTGTCAATCACCATGGTAATTATTTATTTCCTCCACCTCCTCTGCAACACGCACATACACACACCTGCACGCAAACCAGGAGACCCACACATGTCCACCAGCATGCATTCATACCCATCCGTCACCTTCTCCGCCCACGCCGCACAGAGTACAGATTACCCTGAAACTTGCCACCTTCGAGCAGCGACGCTTTCTGATATTAGCCGCAGCACATGAGTAAGGACGGTGAACGCCCCGCTTCTTTTAATAACTTCCTCTACCATCTGTGAGTCA